ACTAAGTAAAAATGAAGCGGTCTGTTTAAGGACATCTAAGAACACCGCCAACCAAGAAAGGTTCTATAAAATGCCTCAAGATATATATCTTTAATTTTAAAATGTTTTATTGAGGGATCTGATGGGCTTCTAAAATCATTGAAATTAAAAACACTTCAATGCGAAAAGACTACGAGTACGTTTATAAAGCCTAAACCGTAAATTTTTGATTGATTGGTTGATTTTGTATGTTTTTTTTTCATTTTCACCATCCCGACGGTCTATTTAAATGCAGAAAATATATTTAGATTGTAGATTTAAATTTTTTAATAGAGAATAATTTATAATTTTGACATATGATTATTTTAATAATCCCAATTATCTATCTATAAGAATATCTTTTCTAAGAACAACTCTTATAAATTCTTATATATATATATCATTCAATATATATATATATATATATATATAATATAGTATATATATTCTAAATAATATATATATATATATATATAGAATATACGGTTATTTTCCTATAATTAGGAAATACACACGACAAATTATAAACATTAAAAATAAATACATTTTTTGCGACACCGACACTCATTTATATATATATATATACACACACATATATACACACAGGGAATACACGGAAATATGAATATATATATATATATATATCTTATATATGATTTCATTATATATACATATACATATATAACATTTATATATACCAGAGCTGAATGTATAATATATATATATATATAAATGTAAAATAAATATATGTAATATATATATATTTATACAATATATATCGATATGAATATATTTATTTACACATATATATATATATTTCAAAAAACATATATATACATAACATATAATTGATTAACATCAAAACACAAACACATTTATAAACAAAATATGCAATAAATATAAACACATATATATACACAAATATATACACACAAAATGTAAAAATATATATATATATATATATATACATTTTCTTATTTTTTTTCATTTTAAATAATATAGACAATTTGTCTATTTATTTTATGTAATTTTTTTTCATAACGTCTGATAAGTTTAATAACGTTATTCGTTGAACGAAGAAAGAAATTTTAAATATAATATATTTTGTATATACATATGTATATAATAAGTTGATATATATTGTTGTGTGTAAATATATATAAAATTTATATATATATATATGTAATATATATATGTATTTATATATATATATGTATGTGTTTATATATATATATCAAGAAATAACACACAATTTGTTTAAAAAATCTCATGTGGGTTTTCATAGAAACATGGGAAATTGAATAATATAAACAAGTTTTTTTACTTATTAAAAAAATTAATCCCAAAAATTCACAGACCAGCTTCAGAAATATCATTATTAAAAAACTTTTGGGGAAAATGGCAATGTTCATAAATATTCATTTATTCTTTAATTACTTAAGACATTAGCACAATGTCACGGAAAGGATTTTTTTTGTGTTTTTTTTTTTTTTAAACACTTTTTTTTTATGAATTAAGAGACAAAATTATGGAAAAAATAAATAAAAAGTTAAATTTCTCCCAATGGTATATGCACGTAAGTTAATATAACGATCCTGACTGGAATTGGAACACGTCTGTCCGATTTACAATTCTGATACATTATCCATTATTTACCGTATGCACCTCCTAATATAACTGGACCTATTCTCAAAACAGTCAGTAATTGATAGGTAGTGACCGCATTCGTCCAAACTTAATTTTGGTCATCGTATGAGAACCAATATTTCAACGTGATTTTCGTAAAAATGTATAACTGTAATATTTTTTCCTCAAAAATCTATTACTTTTTTATAGGAAATAATCAATATTATTATTCAATCATTAACCAAAATATTTTGTATATTTTAAATTAATATATATATATATACCGTTATATATAAAAACTTATATATAAATATAGTTCAGGGTATGACGATAAAAACATCCGATACTAATAATTTGATTGATGGTTTTCAGATGTTTGAATGGTTGATTAACTTTGTTGAATAAAAAAAATTTTTGATAAAATTTTTTGAAAATTTATTTTAACTATTTCTACAACCTATTTAATACTTTTATAAAATTTTGAAAATACATTTTTTTTAAAAAATTTTCCAGTAATACATTTTATTAAGCAAAAGGTTCTAACAAGCCAGTTTATTTAAAAGAAAGCAAGAACATCAATAATTTAGAAAATGTTCAATAAATACATTTTATAGAATGATAAAATGACCATTAATCGGATTTTTTTTATAGCAAAATGACCAGCAATACATTTTATACAAAATGAATATCAATTAAATTTTAAAAATGACGTAACAATACATTTTATATTAAAATGACCAACAATACATTTTATTTTAAAATGAACAACTATACATTTTGTCAAAAATTATAATTTTTAAACTGTTTTATAGATCAAAAAATTTGAAAAAGAATTTAAGTTTTATAGCAAAATTAATGAGATAACTACTTTAATAAAAAACATTTTATAGTAAAATGAACAATTATACATTTATTTTAAAATGACAAACAATACATTTTTCTATATAAATGACCAGTAAAATATATATATAGGAATAAGAAAAATTACTAACAATACATTTTTATAAAATTTTTATCAAAATCATTTTAAAGCAAAATAAAATGAATATATTTTATATAAATACCAACAATACATTTTATAATAAAATGACCAACAATAAATTTTATAGTAAAATGAACAATTATATTTTTTAATATTTTTTAAAAATGACCAACAATACATGAACAGGTTAAAATGAACAACTATACATTTAATAGAAAAATGACCATTATACATTTTATAATAAAATGACCATCAATACATTTTATATTAAAATGATTCAATACATTTTATATTCAAAATGACCTTTATATTTTTAGACAAAATAAAGAACAACAATATATTTTTTTTCAAAAATGACCAACAATACTGGAGATGAAGAAAAAAGACCATCAATGTTTATTTCGAAACAAGCGATATGACCAATAATATATATGACCAATAGTTGAAGGGATGTTTGTTTTTGTTTCAAATTAATTCAAAATATATTTAGTTGAAGAGGATAAAATAGTGTTAAAATTAAAATTTAAGGTATTAAATGACCAATAACTATATTGAGGGTCCTCACGAAGTTATCGGCAAATAATGAACTTTAGCAAAATTATTTGATGGTTTAAAAGTAATAGCAAAAATGACCAACAATTGATTTTATAACAAAATGACCAATAATATGTTATTTTAATTCATTGTTTGTGTATTAAAATCTATTTTGTTGAAGCAATGAAAATAGTGTTAAAAAAGATTTCTTCATTAAAAAACTGTTGAAACTTGACTAATGCATGGAATAATAATGCAACACAAAAGGTACTTAGAACAAAATGTATTGAAACAAGAAAGTGTACACAATATTTACATATAGTCTTTTGTATATTCCTGGTAAGACCGTTCCTAGAGAATGTGTTGACTTAGTCGCAGTCGGGCAGAGTCTCTGGATTGAATCTCTTGATTCCTTCCCTCGTCTTCCCGGTACCAACCATATTTATATGGTCGGTACTCCACTATGCAAATTAGGTGGATCCTACCACAACAATATAAATATCCCAAGCCTTGGAAATATATTTTGGATTTCCAACTGGCTTATATATATGGGTTGATGATTATATCAAAAATACCACAACAAAAACACATAGAAGTTGATATCACTAAACTAATTCATAATTATATGAAAAAAAAAAAAAAGGTTTTTCTCCCCTTTCACTGTCGATTCTGTTAAATGTAGCCGTCTCTTTCAAAAATAATAGCTTCATGTCTCGCACCTATTCGACTGTGGAAGACCTAAAAATTTCTTATTTAATTTGGTAAAATAAATCCAACCTTCAAATGTAATGTCAATCGACATCACCAGATGCCCGGAAATAATCTATCCTTCTCTTCATCCTTTCCTCTATCAATCCTCTTTGTTTTCGCTCCTACTCTCTGTAACCCCTTGCGTGCTAGTGGCTTCCCGCCGTGATTTGGGCTGAATGCTTACAAAAAAAAAAAATATTTGTCAACTAATATTTACAAAGACGCTACAGACATCCAGTACTTCTACCTAGCCTAACTTTCAACCCTAACCCTAGCGTCCTTGTCTTGAATATCAGTTTGGACTATAATTTATCCAAGATCTCAGGTGGAACTCGTATACAATCCATCGTTAAGCGTACTTGGGAAATGGCCGCTTCCTCGTGCCATCCACTCTACCAAATTACCGATCTTATTCTGTCATGCTCTGTCTTTGACCAAAGCTAGGACGGAATTGTGCAATCACTTCATTCCAGCCATGACAGATTTCAAAAGAGTTTACACGACCTTGTGCGTGATGAATTATTTTTATTTTCAACACCACAGACCCTTAACCACGGATGAAAGATGTCTATCGCTGTTCTACAGCTGTTTCGATGGCAACTGTTCAGATGTGTTACATTCAGTAGTTCAAGCGTTTCAGCAAACCCACGCATGCCACGGACGCAGAGTTGAATTCTAATCATTCTCTTTGTATTCCATTGATAAGGAAGAAGTTCAAACCAGACAGCTTCAAAAAAGAACGGCTACTAAATAATGCCACCTACAAGAAATCCGGTTGAGTTCAAATAGAAAATTTGTGTTTAAAACTCTAAGCGGCTCCTACTGTTATTAAGCCTTTTCTTCAAGTATGAATTGAGTTCTCGAGCCACTGGTGTATTTCGTATATATATAAATATATATATATATATATATATATATATATATATAAATATCCAAAGAGATTTCAATGTAAAAATACAGTAATAGGATAAAATAAATAAATAATAATATCTTAAAATTCATCATGGATTTTTAAGGATTTTTATTCATTTTATATATATATATATATATATATATATATATATATATATATATATATATAATTATTTATTTAAAAAAAAATAACATAAAAACATGTTATAAAATCATACAATAATAGATAGATAAATAGATATGAACATAGATAATTATGAACATGATAATAGATAGATAGATAGATAGATAGATAGATAGAAAATAAATGAGATAGAGATTTTGATATGAGCATAGATATTGAACATTTAATAACAGGCAGACTTTAAATAGATAAAATGAAACAGATAAAATAGAATATAGATAGATAAAAATATTGAAACATGACAGAAATGAATTTTAGATTGAAAATAGATAGACAAAATATGAATTTAACAGAAGAACATAATATGAATTAGATAGATAGATAGATAGATAGATAGATAGATATATAGAACATGGTAGATATGAACAGATTGATGCATAAACAGATATGAACATAGATAGATAGATAGATAGATAGATAGATAGATAGATAGATATGAACAGAGATAAACACAAGAACATAGATATGAACATAGATAGATAGATAGAAAGATAGATAGATAGATAGATAGATAGTGTTGTGTACGATACACCTAATTTACATAAGTGGAGTACCGACCATATAAATATGGGTTGGTACCGGAAGACGAATAAAAAAGAAAGAAGACATCGAATCGAGAGACTCTGCCTGACTGCGATTTAGTCAACCCATTCTGCAGGAACAATCTTCCCAAGAATATACCAAAACTAACTGTAAATATTGTGTATCTTTTCCTTGTTTCAATACATTTTGTTTACGTACATTTTGTGTTGTATTATTATTATTCCATGCTTATCCAAGTTTCAACAACATGTTATAAAATCACTACAAAAATAGCCATTTTGTTTCAACACTCCCGGTGTCTTATCAAGTGATTATATTGAGCACTCTTTTAAGAATAGTAATTGTTGGTTATTGAAATTCATTCTGTATACACCAATTATATACTTGGGTATATATATATATAGTGAACTCTCCCGTCGTATTCGACGTATGAGGGTCAAGCAGCTCAGTACCTAGGAACCGACAGCCAGACACCAGCACATTTGATTTGGTTATAGTGGTCAATGTTTGGTGCAGAACGAACCACACTTTTTGAAGGGCCGAATACAAAGACTTGATGCATTTATATTCGATTTACAAAAACTCAAACGATCATCCGCAGGTTTTGAATTCAGTTGTCCTTCTCCTAGACCAGTTGCCATCCAGAACTCTAGAACCCAGTCTTGTTACAATTTTTGGATACATTATGTAACTAGTGAGTTAGCCCAAATGACTTGACTCTCTTTATAGTCCACCAATAGAAGGTTAACCAATCAGAAGACGTAGAACATTCAATCCGTCGGGTATAAAGGCGGCCATTTTGTTTACTCTACCCGAATGTCCAGTGCCAGCTTGTCAGGCGAAGAGGAACAGAAGGACGAACTACGCTCTGCTACTTTTACCAAAATATCCACTGCTAACCTGAACAACGCTTTCCTACTGTCTTCGAAATATTCACTGCTAACCTCTGGATTCTATACACGAAGACGACCGTCATCATGAACAACAAGTCTGGCCTGCTATTTACCATTGCATAGTTTAGGGGAAAGAAGCGGTTATTAGCACGTAATTGAATGAAAATGGATATATATATATATATATATATATATATATATATATATATATATATATATATAATATTTATTATATAATAATTATTAATATAATTAATAATTTTGCTCAGTCTCCAACATAGTTCCCCTTGGATCTTTATCTTCTTGGAAATTCCATACGGATTCATATATATATATATATATATATATATATATATATATATATATATATATAAACAATAAAAAATATTAGAAAATTAAAATCTTCAGACACACTGGGTTGTAGATTAATATTCTTTTTTTTTTATTATTATTTCATTTAGATTCCTCGACTAGTTTCGGCCAAAATGGCCATCATCGAAAAAAGAAATATTTCATTTGCAAATGAAGAAATCTACAGAAATATATATATATATATATATATATATATATATATATATATATATATATAAAGGATTAAAGAGAGACAGCAAAAATAGAATGATAGAGAAAGGGAGTGAAAAAAAAAAGGATAAACGGACAGAAAGATTAACAGATGGAAGATTTTTTTTTGTCGGTGTGTGATCCACTCTAAATTAAGCGCCTGATTTCTCTCCCACTTTTCACATAAAAAAAAACAAAAATAAATAAAAATCGTCCTTGATAATGATTAAAAGAATAGCCGAAAGCGCTCGGACATGCAGAACTTTTGTACAGTTTTTACACACTTTGTGCCTAGAAAAAAAAACCCACTTGTATGAAAATTTAAATAAAAACCTTAATCTCAGAACGTCTTGTCAGTTGTCTCATATAAAAAGAGGATTGCTTAAATAAATATATATATATATATATATATATATATATATATATATATATATATATATATATGCACAGAAAAAGAGAGATTGAGAGCAAGCGTTGGGGATAGATAGATAGATAGATAGATAGATAGATAGAATAGATAGATAGATAGTCAACCGAATTAGATAGATAGATAGATAGATATAGATAAATATTGCATAAAAGGTGGATGCCTTCAAGGATTAATGGAAGTTTTCTTTGTCGGTGTGTGAGCCGATCTGAATCCACCGAAAACATGAGATATCTGGCGAATTTATGTACCCTCTGGGCTTACCAAACCACCCACCCGCGGGTCATGACCACTGTCCATGACTATCCATGTGGCTAATTTGACGACAAATTGTTTGATATTAGCATTCCGCCTATGCCATAAAATTCAAGGCGTTGGCGGATGAGAGACAAGCTGCTACTTCATTGTGTCCCACTGTCGTAAGCAGTCAGGATGACTTGAAATGAATAGTGGTGAGTTCTTTAAAAAAATGCCTTTGATTATTCAAGTTTACCCAGCATCACCAACAATCTCTCTTTGTGTATACGGTTGGTGGCTGCAGACATAGATAATACACACACACACACATATACACACACGCGCACACACACACACACACACACATATATATATATATATACATACACACACACACACACACACACACACACATATATATATATATATATATATATAATAAAAAGGCTTAAACACTAATATTCCATGGTCATAATTTATTCCATTGGAATCGTAAATACGATCCAATTCATCAGACCTACAAATTCAAAAAGAAAACAGAAAAAACAACTCCGGGAATAAAAAATAAAATTTAGTCAGAGTGTATCTATGAGAGTGTGGGAATGATTACATATGTATGTGCATATTTACTACTAATATTATCTATCTATCTATCTATCTATCTATATATATATATATATATATATATATATATATATATAACTATGAACCTAAAGAGCCAGCGTACCCTGACGATCCGCGTAGGTGAAACCTAGGTAGATTTGCCTGGCTCTTTAGGTTCATAGGTAGATTTGCTCTGCTTAGTGTATTGAGCACTTTGCTTAGTTACTTTTGCTTTAATCGTTTTGGATGTTTTTTTTCTTTGCACTCTGAGCTTGAATTCTGGACGATTGTTTTCGCCTGAATTACATATTCTTAGTTCTTTCTTTTTTTATTCCTTATTTTTCCCTGAGTATTAGTTTGTTCATTTACAAGCCAAAACACCTAAGGTTTTTCCAGACGAGTATAATTACTTATATTTATATTATTATTACATATATATATATATATATATATATATATATATATATATATATATATATAGTACTGCGCTTAAATTCATAAAGTCTAGGTACCATAGCGTATAGGTCATCCGACCAATTACCATGAAAGTATTTATAAAAATGGCACAGAGAGCCGTTGGGAAAGTGACTGAAGCTGAGACACCAGATCAGGACCAATAATATTGCTGATTCTTCTTTGGATCATATCAAGGCGCTCCAGGTCAATCACAGGGGCACCGGACCACATATGACAGTAATATTCTAAGCATGGACGAAAGGCAGACTTATAAATATGCAAGATAGATTCCGGAGTGACCTGACTTTTTAAGCAGCTGACCTAGCAATGGATGCAATATAGTCTTTCCATTTCATGTCATCTGAGAACGTTAACCCGAGAAAGCACAATGGGTCTCTTCCCCGGAGGACAGCATCAGCCATGCTGATGGAAGGCAGAGAGGGGTCTCTCAGATGATTAATAGGGAGAATTTTAGTTTTGGGGGCGTTAAAATTGACAAGGCACCTTTTGCCTCAGTTAACGACTGTCTTGACGTCGTTTTGTACATAAGCTGCCATTTTGAGCTTGTCGGACTGATCAGCCGTAATAACGAGGCAGGAGTAAATTGTAGTGTTGTCAGCCTAGATGTCAAGTTGAGAGCTGATGTGATCGGGAAGGTCGTTAATGGAGATTAAAAAACAGTGCAGAGCTAGGATTGAGCTCCGGGTGACACCCGCGTTAGTACGAAAGGATGTAGACGAGTGGTCGTTCAGGACAACTTTAAGTTCAAGATTTGATAAGAACGACTAGATCAGCTCAAAAATGTGCCCAGAGATAACGTAACTTTTCAGCTTGTCGAGAAGGCTGAACACCAGACCCTGTCAAAGGTTTTAGAGATGTCCAATGCTACAGCCCGACTTTCACCGTTGTTATCTAGAGCATGACAGACTCTTCCCACAATTATCGTTAGTACATCAGCAGTGGACCTGGAGAAATGAAGGTCGTATTGCTTGTCTGTGGAAAGGCCCCGCGATGAGAGATGATGAACCAATTCAGCATTGATTAGAGCGTCTAGGAGTTTCCCAGCGACAGAAGGCTAATAGTCCAATAGTTGGATAGATGGAACGGTTCTCTAGTGTTCTTAACTGTAACAACAGACGATGTCTTACAGCAAGTAGGAAAGCAGGAGGTAACGAGGCATTTATTACACAGTTTAGAGAGAACAGGAGCCAGTTTGGGATCATGCTTCTTATTGTCTATTGCGTGAAAATAGCAGGGGCACCGGACCATATATGGCATCAATATTCTAAGCATGGATGAGTGGTAGACTAAGAGATATGCAAAATAGCTTAGTGCGAACGGATATGTACGAGTGGCAGTTCAGAACAACTTTCATTTCACGACTTGATAGGAGCGACTGGATCAGCTCAAAAAATGTGTACGGAGATACCGTAGCTTTTCAACTTGTGAAGAAGACCTGATTGTCAGACTCTTTCAAAAGCTTTCTACGGCTCGGCTTTCATCGTTTTTATCTAGAGCACGATAGAGTCTTTCCGCAGTTATCGTTAGTACATCAGCAGTGGACCAGGAGAAATGAAAGTTGTATTGCTTGTCTGTGAAAAGGCCCAGCAATGAGAGATGATGAACCAATTCAGCATTGATTAGAACCTCTTTTTGGAAAAAAAGGGGTAGAAGGCTAATGGTCTGATAGTTGGATGGGTCGGACAGTTTACCAGAGTTCTTAGAAACTAGAATAAGAAAGACTTCCAGTAGGCAGGAAAGCAGTAATAAGCGTGGTATTTATTATGCAGTTTAGAGAGAACAGGACCCAGTTCGGGAGTACACTTCTTAATGTCTTCTACAGGGATGCCATCCGGTCCACGTGCTTTGTGGGGATCAAGGTTAGAGATGATAGCAGATACCATGGAAGAAGGTTATATGTATATCATTCAACAGAGAATCAGTTCTAAGTGGGAAGTTAGGCAGGGATACTTCAGATGAGTCAAGAGTAGAATTTGAGAAGACTTTAAGGGCAAAGCATTCAGCTTTATCAGCAGTGGATGATAACACCTAAAATCGACTGAAGAGGGGGCGAATAGAGACTTTTCACTTATTTAGTACCCTATTACAGAGACGCCAGTAATTACGAAATCCAAAGTTTTTTCGGGGCTATGCGTTATCTCATTCTCTCCGTAGACAGGGACCTACCTCCTTCAAGGACTCGCTTACATTTGTCACGAGCAGTAGCAAATAGGCACCTGTTATGACGAGAGCTAACCCGCTGGTATAGCCCGAAATAGTGGTTCCTGTGTGTGATGGCGGCCGAGCATGCTGGTGTGAACCGTGAAGAGAATAGCGGTTTCACCTGGTATTTCTGAGAAGGCATGAAAGCACCCATGCCGGCTTTGACCCAAGAAGAAGCCCCAGTGGCGCAATTTTCAATTGGGGGGTTGAAGAATGTCAGTCCGAGGGTTGTCACGAAGAAAATTCCGGAAAGAGTCCCAATCAGCGTGCTGGTTACGGAAAGAGGTCTTATGGATAGAGGGGTTCCTGCTTATCGGATGCCTAGAAGGAGATACAGTGAAATCGATTGAAAAGGGAGGGGAATAGAAACCTTGAACTTATTTAGTACCCTATTACAGAGACGCCAGTAATCACAAGAGCCAAAGTTTTTTTTTAGAGACAATTCAGCGCCTCATCCTCTCAGCAAACAGGGACTTAGCTCCTTCGATGACTTGCTTACATTTGTTTCGAGCATTAGCAAATAGGCACCTCTTATAGCGAGAGCTGTCATGCTGGTATGGCCGGAAATAGTGATTCCTGTGAAAGTCTCAATCAGAGTGCTAGTTACGGAAAGAAGGTCTTATGGATAGGGAGGGTCCTGTTTAATGGATGCTTGGAAGAAGAGTGGTCTGAGTTACCAAGAGGGCAGTATTGTGAAGGTTGGCAAGAGCGAGGACTGGAGTTAAGAAATAGATCCAGTTGAGAAGCCTGTTGCGTGGTTTGGCAAGGGAAACGTATAGGGAAGTCCACGATTTGAGTAAGGGATTGGACAATGGAAAAAATTAATCTCTGAATACCAGCAATATGAGTACCTTTAGAATATTTAAGCCACATGTTGTGGTGAGCATTAAAATCGCCGGAAACAAAGATATTCGCAGATGGATGAAGAAAAAAGTGCCTTTTCTATACTATCAGCTATTGTGTCTAATACAGTCTTGAGGAGAGGGGGAGCGATAAAGGAAAAGGATTTAGCTGACAGAGTTCAGTAGCGAAAGACGGAAGCACATGAAAGATTAGTCCGTCACCTCGAGAGACAATTCCGTGGCCATCTGAAGATTATCCCGAATGTAAACACCAAGACCGTGCGGGTGAAGGCTGGAATCTTTCTGGCAAAGGGGAAGATACCCTTGGAAGCAAGAATTCATTGGTAGCAAAGGAAGAATTCAAAGGGCTGAGATATCTGGCGAGCATTCCAGAAGAAAAGATTCTACGCTGCAGAAGTTGGAACAGCTACCACGAATCAGTGGCGCAATTTTTCAATTGGGAGGTTGGAGAAGTCAGTCCAAGGGGCGTCACGAAGAAAATTTCGAAATGAGTCCCAATCAGCGTGCTGGTTACGAAAAGAGGGCTTATGAATAGGCGTTCATATTTAATGGATGCTTGTAAGGAGATATCAATAGCTACCATAGAGTGGTCCGAGTTATTAGGTTGGTGCAAAAATAATGACGTAATAATGTCGTTTTTGACGTTAAAAATACGTCAAAAAACGACATTATTACGTCATTATTTTTGCACCAACCTACTACAAAGAGAGCAATATTGTCAAGCTCAGCAACAGCTTGGAGTGGAGGTAAGAAATAGATCCAGTAGAGAAGCCTATTGCTTGGACAGGGAACTCTACGATCTGGGTGAGGGATTGGGCAATGGAAAATTTAATGTCTGTGTACCGGGAACATCAGTGCCTTTAGAATGTTTTAGACTCGTGTTGTGGTGAGGTTTAATGCTTCCCACAACAAAGATGT